ACCATCTCATCCTCTGCCGTCCTCTTCTCCTTTTGCCTTCAGTCTTTCCCAGCATCAGGGTTTTTTCCAAAGAGTCCTCTCCATCCTTGGACTCAGAATAATTTGCATAAATTATAACCTTATACATGTATCCTTCCATTCTCCTTCAGAGATGGAAGAGTTTTTGATGAATGTTCAACATTACAAGAGAATTCTCAACATTTGGCAACCTTAATCTCTGCATCTGTCGTATTGCCTCTTAATTGAAATGTTTGAAGAAGCTTGCTTGTGTGGAAGTTTTGTTATGCTCTGGAGCATCTGTTGAGCTTTAAAGTCTACCCTAGTTATGGAACTGGTAGAGATACCACTAATTTTTATGACATTTTCAAGGCTTCTGGAAGCTGATTCAAAGTCATTACGCTCTATGAATGGCTCCCGAAGGAATAGTGGGTCGTCTTTGGTATCCAGTTCTTCTGCATCATCCAATCTGAGCCATCTTGAAGAGGATACCTGGATCTTATGGGGAAGGATTGTCAATGAATGGGAAGAATGGAGGAAAAGAAAAGAGAAATTGCTCAAGGTGAGGAAAGTAATTGCCTCTAGTGGTAGACATGTTTTATAAGACTTATTTTATAAGTCATAGACATGTTTCCATTTGTTATACTTGGTATACTTGCATAGTATAGAATACTTCTTTTTCTGATTGTATATTTCTGCATCATAGTTGTGGATTGGAACAAGTGAGGCAGTAGGAAACAGAAAATTATTTTTATGTAAGAATGAAGTGTATTACAAGAATATATATTACATGTTCCTGCTCTTCACAACAAATGCATGTAAAATGGTGATACAAGAACTCTGTAAAGCTGAAACAAATTGTTTTCTGAAAGCCAGTTGGTTAAGGTATTGAATATTTATTCTGTGAATTCAGATATTCCAGAAGATCCTCAGGATGAGTATGAAAACCTTAATTTAGAGACTCTTTATTAAGCTGATTCTTTGATGTGTTGTAATTGTGGATGCAATAACAGTATTTACCCAGTATCCCTCTTAGTTTATATCAAGGGATTAAAACTGACTATATCCCTTCAATATAGGGTAGAAATATGAAAAATGCATGGAGTGGGGACCAATTTTCCATAATGTCACTTGGAATATCTTGTACTTTTTTTCTCCACTGCTTAGGAACTCATAAGGAAAGGAATCCCTCACCATTTCCGAGCAATCGTTTGGCAGCTTTTGTGCAGTGCCACGGACATGCCTGTGAAGAATCAATATTCAGAGTTGCTGAAAATGTCTTCTCCTTGTGAAAAGCTAATCAGAAGGGACATTGCCAGAACATACCCCGAACATGAGTTCTTCAAGGGGCAAGACAGTCTGGGCCAGGAGGTTCTCTTCAATGTTATGAAGGCAAGTAGAAGACAAAGTTGCTTTCGAAATTACATGCAGTGTATATCTCTTTGTATGCAAATAGAGGTCTAGTTCATGAAATTAACTTCAGCCGTCTCAACTTTAAAATCAAATAAGATCTTGTTATCGAGAATGGCAGCTTTCTTCATTTGGTGCCTCCCTGATTGGTTTTTATAGTATTTCTAGATTGATAATTAGCCTTGCAGATCAGATTAAAACTGCTTTGCATGTTAATTTTATTGGAGTTTAATGGAGAAATAGTCTTACTCTAATAAATTATTTTTCCTTCTAAGCCTGTTATATACAGGGAAGATCAGATACAGAAATTGATTTAGAAAATGAATTGTTGTATTACAGCTACAGATGAGGCAGATCTGTCTCTTTGATGTTTCTCTTGCAGTCTCTGATATACTATAAAATTACTCTTTTAAAAAGTTGACTAGCTTCTATAGATGAAGCAGGGAGAATTTTTAGTCCTTAATAGACAGCCAAATGCCTTTTGCTCATTAAGAATTATATACCTTGGAATAATGGATTACTGAACCCAGTATTTGGGCTCTATGTGACAAAATACACATTGTTGTGTCCATCAAGCTTGCTTGCTTCTTACGGACATTTCATTACCAGGTTAGGTAACATCATCAGTGAACTCAACAATTCAGTCCTGAGCTACATATGTTCTTCACTGTTGCAAATTAAAATATAAAGTTCCTTTGGGTGACTTCACAGTTCACCTTCCATTATGTGAATGTTTTATTTATTCTTACATTCCGCTTTCTGTATGTGATTAATAATAAAGCACAATGTGTTAACCCTAACCCTGCCAGATGTGGTTTATTCAGTAAAGCATGATTAAGGAAATTGTGGATTAGCTTGGTATCTCATTGTTTCTCTTATTCTAATTTGTATGTCCCTTTTTTGGTTTAATTTATTTGTTTGTTAGATTTATATCCTGCCTTTTGTTAAAGGAGCTCAAGGCAGTGTACATAGCTCCCTCTTCTCTCATTTTTCCCAACATCAACTCTGTGAGATAGGCTGGGCTAAGAGTGGGTGATTGGCCCACAGTCACCCAGTGATCTGTGGCTGATGATGGAAGTGGACTTGTCTCCCCAGTGTTAGTCTAACACTTTAACCACTACACCACATTAGGAAACTTATTTTTCTCTAATCTTGTTGCTTGCATGGATAGTTTGATAGATTCTTGACTGATTATATATATTCAAGCTGTCCTATTTGTTTTAATAGAACTCTTTTCATGGTCTCTTTCACATTTCCTTTTTACCAGTTCCCCCCCCCTTTTTTTTAACTCGTGATTCTTGGCTTTTCTTGGCAATATTTCATTTACACATCAGTGTAGTATAACTAATTCTATGTGGTTCAGTAACATTCACACTGTATAATTGGTGTTGGGTACCATTGAGGATTAAGTTACCTCCCCTTTGATTACAGTCATTTAGAACATCCAGAACTTTTACTTCTTTGTTATAACTAATATATGCATATATCCAGTCTATCTGTGAGTATTTACAATCTCCTATAATACTACAGTTATTTTTTCTTTGGCTGCTCTCTTATTATTGTCTCTCACAAGTGTGAGAAGTGAAGAGAATAGTAGTACTGTAGGTTTCTAGTATTAAATTGATATAGGTATGCCTTTTCTGTAATAAATATGTAATTGAAGGAAAGGAGTATTTTTATTTTTTTATTTCATTGAAAGTTTTTTTTAAAAAAAAATAAAAGACAATACAAACTAAACTCAGAAAGGAAAAGGAAAGTAAAGAAAGAGACTAGTAAGTGTTAGAAAAGAGGAAAAGAAGAAAAAGGAAAAAATAGTTAAAGAAGTGTCTTCTGATCTTCATCACAAGTACAAAGCTATAATTCTTCACCCCCTATAAGGTTACGTGCAAGTATCATTTCTTCCCATAAGCCATCCCTTATCCATACTCAAATCCATAAATCATTAACATTTCAGTCCTAGTGTCATCAAAAATCCATAAAGGGTTCTAGAATTTTATGGAAACATGTCTGTAATTGGAGCAGAGGAATATGTACAATAAAATTAGGATATCACATTTGGGTATTTATCTTTCATCTTAGTTTCCAGTTGGTTCCATAAACAAAAAGAATTGTCTGCCATCTTTGCACATTTTAAAATATAGCTGTGTAAATCTTTGTTTTAGCTCTTTCGGGTGAATTGATGGCTAAGTTGTGAGCTGTAAATCTCTTTTTTGCTTAAATTCCTATTTCTTTCAGGCTTATTCTCTAGTAGACCGTGAGGTTGGGTACTGCCAAGGTAGTGCATTCATCGTGGGACTACTTCTCATGCAGGTTTGTGCTACTTAAGATTAGAAATCTGTCTGGAACTCATTAGGAATTTCTAGACCACTTACATCTTACAAAATATTACATTACAGGTTTGTAGCTTATAATTTATTTTTATGCATTTGTTCTGTTTATATCCCACCTTTCTTTCGGAAGCTCAGGGCATACTGGGCAAACGGAAGCACCTAAGCATACTCTCCTCCAATTTTTCCCCACGAGAACAACCCTGTGAGGGCTAGGGAGTAACTGGCCCAAAATCACCTACTCCATTTCCATGGCTGAAAGTAGGCAGCTTTGGTTCTCATCTAGTTTCTCAAACCTTAATATTAGCATGAATTTATTAATTAAAAATATGAACCCAGATTCATTGTTTTATATAGAAGGAGGTTTTGGTCAGGACACACCTACCTAAAAGCTTTTAATTATTCAAAAAGTTTAATTAGAAGCAGGTCCCTAAATATTTTATGCTTTTCTAGGAATATGAATATTCATTCTGTGCAGAATACACTCAATCCACATTGCAAATTTAATATATGCTATTTTAATGAAGTGTTGAGGCCCAGCTGATCCAATTTGATAAGTGTGGTTTCTGTATCCAAACAACTTTTTACTGTCTTGAAATTAAGTAGGCAGCGGCTTACTCTAACCTTTAGAAGAGGTTGGTTGGTTTGTTATGCAGCATTGTTTTGAAAAGGAGGACTTTAGAGCTTCCCTCAAAATGAAGTGTCATTTTGAAGACTACAGATCGTTGATATTCAGTCTATAATAGGATGACACCTATTTTTTTTTCCAGCCTATACTAGAAAAAGTGTAAATAGAATGAACACTAATATAATTACCTGCATTTATTTGGGAATTAGTGGACATGTGTCTGGCCTAGGAGCTGGACTTTCAGGACATCTTATTGCTATCTGTTGATATATATCTTGGATTGATGGCACTTTTAATGGCATGATCAAATTTACTAGTCACAGGCATGCACAGTGTCAAATTTCCAAAACAGTATTTATGTTTTAAACCAAAGTATAATAAACTAGGAAGTCCAAAAACATCCCAGAAAAAGGCAGTGGGAAACCATTTCACTACTGTTGCCATGAAACTCTGTGGTTGTGTCCATGCAGTCATTAAGGAGGGGAGGGTAGGTGCTCAAACCCAAGGAGCAAGAAAAGCCACATTCCCTTGAAGAAAACTTAATTATTCAGGTCTGCTATGTTTTGGATGTATATTTTTTTCAGAGACAGCATGAAAAACAGACATAAAACCATAATACATATTGTAAACATGGCAATGTTTATGATGCAGTAAATAGGTTAAAACAATCACTTGATTTTTAATTAAAATGACTTAAAAGCATTGTATTGATTGTTATGAGGTATCATTGTTATGTTATTATATAACTTGCATATAGCAGTTAACAAAAACATTACAAAAACAGTCAAATTTATTATTTCCTTAATCTCCATCCTACTTTAGACATGTGGTTGTGTTGAATAAGTTCTACTGTATATTCATGTTGCTGCTGCTGCTGCTGCTTATTATTATGATTAAGATTATACATAAAACCACTCACTTATTAAACAATTACAGTTGCTTAAAAAAGCTTTCTTGGGTTGTTGGAGCTGAACAATGGAGCTGAACAATGGAGGCAAGCATTTTCTTAGTTTTGATAAACTGTTTCTTTTTAAAGGAGATAGCAGAGACTCAGCTGAAGAACCTTTATATGAAGAACATACATTTCACTATTAAGTTTTCTTCCTGTAGCGCTTTTTTGTCTTTTTTCTTTAAAAAATGGAATTCATGGTTAATAAAACACGTCTTCCCATTTGGGCTTTTAGTCCTGAATATTGAGCAGAAGATTTTTATCCTTCATTAAGTTTAAAAAGACTCATGCAAATGCACTGTCTGCTTCTAGATGCCTGAAGAAGAGGCTTTCTGTGTATTTGTACGGCTGATGCAAGAATATAGATTACGGGAATTGTTCAAACCCACTATGGCTGAATTAGGACTTTGCATCTACCAGTTTGAATACATGCTGCAGGTAAAGAAATTTCCAAATCTTGGATTTAAAAAATGAACTGCTTTCTTCTAGATTAATACCTAAAATCCAACAGAAGTCTGAAGAACCAGAGTTTACTGGTTTAGCAAATAATTAGGAATGTTTGTTGCTGTATCCATTACCTTAACTCTGAGAATTGAGAATCCTGCTGAGGAATCTCTCAATGTCTGTGTAGTAATGAATGTTGGTTGGAGTTTCTCATAGTTTAAGATTTAAGTTCTGTGTTTCTGTTAGGAACAACTACCTGAGCTGAATATCCACTTCCGCTCCCAAAGCTTTCTCACCTCTATGTATGCATCATCCTGGTTTCTTACACTCTTCCTCACTACTTTTCCTCTGCCTGTGGCCACGCGAGTATTTGACATCTTCATGTATGAGGTAAAGCATTTAATTAAAAATATGAAAGGGGAAGAAATTGAGTGGTCTGCATAACTGATTTGATAATTAAAATTGGCACTGGGAAAAATAGGATATGAGGGCAACAACATTCTTATCTTGCTGTACCCTGGCAGTAGAACTCTACTTCTACCAATAGAAGAGAATATATGTAGCTGAGGGTTGAACTGTGGAGTCCTTGGTGCTCTCTGAGTTTGGTTGTTTGATTGAAAATGATTCATTACCCAACTAGGTAACGTCATCAGCATCAGGTAATAAACGTCTGCAATCAAACAACCAAGCTCAAAGAGCACCAAGGACTCTACAACTCTACTTCTGCTTCTAGTATTGGGGGGGGGGGAGGGTCAGACAATCAGAGGTAGTAGCCATTGCTATCCTTACTCTCCATTGTCTAATCCATTTCTAAAAGTTGTATCTGAACAAATAGTCCAGTTGATTTGTTACAGAATACTCCAGCAATATTTGCTTCTGTAAATACACTAGTTGCTGCATAAGCATCTGCTCAGTTATGTTTAATTTAGAAACCTTGGTATAACTTGGTGTATGCGAGTGGATAGTTGAGTTTGTGAGGGAAAACCAAAGTATCTATGATTCCCATTACATGTCTTGTAATTTAATTTATATTTCTTTCACATAGGAAGGACTGTTTGACATTTATTGTAAACCATGGGAAGCTCAATTACAGGTCGAGTCTATCTAAATTCTGCTGACTTCTTATAGGGATTGGAAATAATCTTCCGTGTAGGAATGGCTCTTCTCCAATTCAACCAAGCTGAACTGATGCAACTGGACATGGAAGGGATGTCACAGGTCAGCTCTATAGTGCATTGTGGGACTAGAGGAAAATTGTTAGATGTTGTTATAACAAATTTTCAGTTGTCCACAATTCCATATTTAGGCTAGTACAAGTGGGAGAGATTTACAGGACTGAGGACAGGATGAGATGGAGAACTGATCCCAATAATATCCTAAATTTAAGCCATTTAGAACCACTGTTCCAAAGTGTAAAAACGCAAGTCAGTTTTCAGAGAAGAGAAAGTTAAAGGCCCAAGCTCTGGCTGTTTTGTTTATGTTCAGTTTTACTGTATGTGATGAGGCAGAATCAGCTGTCTTCATCACTGGCTATGAAGACCTAGAAAGTAGTTTTAGAACTACAGCCTGAAGCATTCAGAATGACCAGGGGAAGAGAGATGGAGAAGCAATGACTTGACTCATCTGCCCATTGCCTGTTTGTTTTCCATCTTTTTGTGGCAGTATATCAATATGCTGAATATTGAGGATATCCATTAAGTGCCTACTAGGATATCAGGCAAAGATTCCTGAGGACCACATGGGTTGAAATCCAGTGCGTTAGTAGCCACATGCCTGTAGTGGGTAGGAAGAGAGCTGTCAGCTCTCTTCCCTGACAGATTCAACACTAGATATCTAATGTAGCCTTTTCTCCATTGCCTTTCGTAGGCAGACATAAAAGCTTAGTCTGTGCACTGTGCCAAGCCATAATGCAATTTGTTTAATTTTAGCCTAGCTTTTCTTTGAAACTCAGTCACTGCAATATCTTTCAGTTAAAACAAACCTTGTCTTAGAATGAAGTGTGTTTATAATCTCCCCAGTATTCTTGTTGCAACAACAAAAACTATATCAGCTGCATTAGGAGTCCAGCTGGGGAAGGTATATTGTAAAGGTATCTTTCAAAGATCTATATGCTGCCAACTGCTAGGAGAAGCAGCATAGAACTCCTGACTTTTTGCTGATTGCAATGATCTACTGGTCAGTGTGTGAGACACTCCAATACTCATTAGGGAGACAAAAGCCTCCGGTGCATGAAGTCCAGTATAGGAAGGAATATTCCAATAATATACATTTATCTCTCTCACACACACCCCTCACCCACTTATTTATATCCCACTGCAATCACGTACAGGCTCTCGGCAACTCACAACATGAAAAACCAATAACAATCAGAATGTATATATAAAAAGCCCAACAGTCAAAATAGGCAAACCTACATTCCAGAAAGGATCTGGCATCAGCCTTCAAACACACTTCTCACAGGAAGCCATCCAGAGAGCCAGGCCAACTATAGTAAAACAATGACTCCAATGACCCCCCCCCGCCTCACCATGACCTCCCAAAAATGGTGGGGTGACAAAACTACTCCTAGTGTGATTGAAGTGGTTGAGTTGATTCCAGTGGATCAACATATATGTGTGTGTAAAAAATAGGTGTGAGAGTGATTGCATAGTGAATATGTTTTCACTGGTAATTTAAACAGTGATTGTGCCTGCATCCTTTAAAAGAGTTCTAAAAGAAAATTGACAGGATATTTGAAATATGCATGAGTACTCCTTTTTCTGAAATACAGACAGCAGAAATATGTGTTTTCCCAGCTATAAAAAACAGCTCACTGCTTCAGTGGGTATTTGAAAGTAATGTGAAGGATTAGCTGGTGGCAGGCATTATGGGCTGGCTTCTGCATTTGTGTTTCCCTATTCACCTAGGATAACTGCTGATCATCTAGATGACTGGCAACTTACAAAGCTGAACTAGTACATTTCAAGGCTCCAGACCCATAGACTTAATAACTACAAATGTAAGGCAGGACCAAAACCAAATGCCAGTGGAAAGGAATTTAAATTGTTTTGCCTCATAATACTAATATCATCTAACCTTGATAACTCAGCTTTTCACCTTACAGATGATATGACGGCATTACATGAAAATATTCCTGTCAACTCTAGTTATAAACATTTGAATTCATGAAAATATACAACTTGTTGGTACATAACTTAACAATGTTAAGTCTCAAAATGCTTTGGGAGCATTTTTGGCTAAGGGTTGTCCAGACATATTTCAAATAAATAACAATAGCATTTCCATTTGTGATATTGCCACAGTGGGTTTGTTTGTGCTTGACGGGCAAACACTCTGAGCTAAATCTAGTCTGTATATATCAGATTTGCTGGAAAGCTTCTCTTAAAAAATGTAGAATTACTTTAAGCAAGTTTAATGCTTCTGAGATACCTTCCTTCCCTTCCTACAATATTGCATATTTATTTTCTCATTATACAACAGGAAAACTAGCTGAGAAAAAAATGTTTTACTCATTGCAACATAGAGTTAGAGGGTGAAGAAAGAATTGGGATCTGATTAAGCCATTTCTTCCTAATTTGTGAAGTTGGAATATTGAACACTTCCACATTGCATGGAGAGATTTAGGCAAGAGAAAATATGAAAGGTTTTTGATTCTTATTGCATTAATACCTGAGATTATCTGCATCTAAATAACTTCTAATTTGTACAGTGCAATTGAAAACACTGCATTCTGTCAGGCTCTGGCTCTGTAGGTTGATGCACCTGCATATATAGCAAAGACATGTTCTATCCAGGTACTAGCAGTATGCTAGAAGTTCTCCTTGAAGTTGGGAGTTATTCTGTAGGAATGATTTAAGACTGTAGACTGGTAAAAAGCACCCTATTCTGAAATGTCTTGTTCTTTGTGCACGCATGCTCATATAAGCATACAAGACTTAGAATATTTTAATGAGCTATAATAAAGGTAGTCAGTAATGCTTCTGCACCTATTCTATTCTAAAAGCTGTCCTATCATAGTGTTGACTTGAATTTAAGTTTATAAACATTAAACATTTGAATTCAATGAATTCAATTTAAGTTTAATGAAAATGGTCCATGTTTGGAAGAACTCTTTTCATAAGAAGCATTTCAGAGACTGACCATCCCTGTCTTGTTCAATTTAATCAGCTGGGAAAGAATACTGCAATAAAAATGTTAGAAATTACATTTGATGATAAGACCATGTAACTTTGATGCATTTTCACTTGAGAATTGTCTACTGCAGTATTTTCAGAAGGTGATTCCTCATCAGTTTGACAGCTGTCCTGATAAGCTGATCTTAAAGGCCTATCAAGTGAAATACAACCCTAAGAAAATGAAACGGTATGTTTTCAATTTTCCTTCCTCACATATAGCTTAAATGCTAAAGAATACAGGATTTAGGCAAAACTCATGAGGTGGACCAGTTCATAATGTTTGTGTTCCAGATCAATATGTAAAAGAGAACACAATTATCCTTTGTATCTTGATGTACTTCTCTGAACAAAAACTGAATGCAAAAATGTGTTAAAAAAAATAAGCTCAATCTGCCATCTTTGTGCTGGCTTTCAAAATCAAAATCTTAAAATGGAGGTTATGAGAAAGTGGGTATTCTTCCATCCATTAACATAATTTATCTGCCATCACATTAAGTTTGGTGTAGAATGAGCCCTGAGTTTGAATATTCTGTAAGGAGAAGCAGAGTGAACCCTCTTCTCTGTTTTCTAGACTGGAGAAAGAGTATACTGCAATCAAAAACCGGGAGATGGAAGAACAGATTGAAATCAAGGTAAGCCCCTTCTTGTCTGGTACATACAATACTGTAATCAGAATGCAGGGTTGGTGTAACTTGTAATACTCAGTGTTATCTGAAACTAATCTTTCTTAGATAATACTCAGGCCACATTATTTCCTCTTCATATCATCCTGTCCTAGCTATGCCTGGACATCTGGGTTAGTGATTTTATTATCTATAGTGGGCATATATTCTTAGAAGTTCAACATATTTCTGTTGGGGCATATGTGTGAACTTAAAGAATTCCCTTTTTTGAACTTTAGATCCATCAATCTGGATGTGGTGTGATTTTTCCTCTCCTAGCTATTTATGATGCTTGGCTGTAGTTCAGTAGTCAAGATTTCAGCATAACGGTTTGATATGCTGGTTTTCACTTGACAAAAGCTCATGCTCATACAGCAGAGCACACGCTGATTCTAATCTTGCTTGCAGAGGCTCCGTACTGAGAACCGCCTTCTGAAACAGCGCATTGAAACCCTGGAGAAGGTGAGAAGTGTACCCAGCCGCATGAGAATCCACTTCCTCCGCTTCCAGACTAGCTTGGCCACCAAAAATGAGGCCTTACACAGCTGTCTGTCTCAGTTGACTGTAGGCAATACGCAGAGTGCCAGCCATTAGTCTTTGTGCATCTTCTCAGGGATGCACTGCACATGTATTTCTGGAATCATTCTTAATGTAAGCACCCAAGGCAGTATTTCTCACCCTACCACTACTGGAATTAATAAAGAGGTGACTTGCTGCCAAGATTCCTTAAAATAGAAAACTAATCTGTAAAGGTGTTAGATGTAGTTTCTCTGCCAAACCAAAAAAACTTTGATCAAAATGGTAAACTCACATATTTTGGACACAAAGTAATTTATTTGTTTTGCGGTTGATATGACATTGTTTTTCAGCCATCTTGTGCCATATACTTACACTGACCTTGTTTTTGTGCTTAAATATTAAACGTTTTCATGAAAAATACAAAAAATCCTTGGATGTATTTTATTGTGGCATAAATACACTGGTAGTTAACTGGAGGACATCTTAGTTAATTGCCCAACAAAGGCTTAACAGCTCCAAAAGAGTCCTTCTTACTGATGACTTCCCTAAATCTCTGGACAAAGGAAGTGTGACTCCTGAAATACAGTGAGACCTTTGTCCATTGGTGAAATGAGCAGGCAAATTATGAATTGTGATCGTTCTTGCAGTGTTGGGGCAAAATTAATATGTGAAGCTGCTTCTGAGAGATCTGTTATTTGTCATTCCTTATGCACAGGCACATTCTTAAAAGCTGCATGATGGAAATGGCATGTTGAAAATTTAAGACTATTCTGGAAGTTCCTTTTCTTGGGGTCTTTTGGGGTCTTTATCTTTTTCTTCTGTGCTTCTGTGCTTGTGTGACCCTGCTATTGTATCTTTTTTCTTTTCTTCATCTTTCCTTCCTTGTCTGGATCTCCCTCTTCTGGGTCTGTAGGAGAGTGCTGCCTTGGCAGATAGGTTGATCCAGGTACAGTAAAATCTTTTTTTAATTTCCAACTCTTCTTTTAGTTTTCCATTACATTTCATTTGAAAACTAGTGTCTACAGTATTTGATGTTATTGGTCACTTGCATTCAATAAAGTTCAGACTAACAATTCTATTTTGGTTGTTCAATCTTCTACAGTATGATGCAGATTTTTTTTATACAGGACTTTGAAATTGTGACTTGCACATCACTGTTTATTTTAGCAAAAGGCTAATTAATTATGCTGCTTACACCGGGCAAGTGTTTCTAGCTCAGGGCAGGTTAAATGTTTTATTATGGCAAACCTAGTTATGTAATTGGTGAAAGATTTGTTTTAGTATTAAATGTTATAGACAGTTCAAATCTCTGTAATTATCCTGCTCTCTGGATTATAATTGGGGGTTAGGGAGAAGGAAGAAGAATGCCACTGGGGCATTTCTTCCCTGTGAAAATCATTATAGAGGGTGAAACATATTGTATTCTTAGATTTGTATCTAAACAAGTCTAATTTCTTATACTGGAATTTCCATGTTTTTACATCAGTACTACCACTAGGAAATTCATTGTATATAATAAGTATGAATGCCCATTCTTTTAATTTTGCAGAGGCATGCAAGGAAAAAAAAGGTGCTATTAAAACTATAGGTACATCATGGGAATTGTTTGAAGGTGTCAGAGTGTCTGATTGGGGCTGAAAACTCTAATCTTCAATTTCTGCTGTATATTTTAAGGATGGATTTTTTTTTTAGAACACTATAAAGTACCGTAGAAGAGGTGGAAAAAGATTCAGAACTACCAACATTCTTCTTAGCTAGATGTCTACTGAATTTTATGGGGAAATGAGACCCTTTAGGGAAGATTCCAAAAAATAAGATTATATAGTAGTTTCTGTTCATCTAGGATTTTACTGATGCTTATGCTTAAAGTAGCTTCTTATGGAGAAAAGAGATTGTGGGAGTGGCCTTGGCAATTTGCCATGAGATCAGTGACTTTCTGGTGCCATTCCAGTGCTTGCAACCACCAACTTAAAGTCCATAAAGTTTTCTACCTCAAGATTCTCAGGTCTTGACTCCTATGGGAAGAGAGACATTCAGAAAACGGGCATCTGCAACAATAAGAAGTAGGGAGGTGCAGGTGGGGAGTTTCCATCATAATCCTTCCCCACCAGTCTCAGCTGCCTGGAGATTGTGCCATCATCTGGAATGACATTAGGATGGAGAAAAAGGGAACTGCATGTGATCCTCGTATACAGTGATTACATGCTTCTGTGTTTAGAACTGTAGGATAGATCATGCTGAACAATAACAGTATCTTGGCTTTTAGCTTGGCTTTCAAACAACATAATTTGTGTTCTGTGTTGCTTCAGATTCTGTAAGCAGAGAAGCAGTGCATGAATACCTTCTCTGTTGAGTTCCCTATTTTTCATTAAAATGAAGAAGTGTGAAGCTTAGAATTTGTCCAGAATATAGGAAACATTTATCCTGACAAAAAGTAATATTGCAACCATGGTCTGATTGCTGATGGTTAAAGTGGCACAATCAAACTAATTAACACAATGTTAAGGTCATGCCATAAAAGACTTTGAATGGAGCACTTGTCGTTTGAAAAAGCCATATGAAAATACCAGTCCCCCTCCTATTATCCAAAGGATGGATTTGCACAAAGTTGTTATGCAGACAGATGCTACATTCACACTCCTGAGTGTTCCATAGTGCCTTTTGGAGACTGAATATAAATATAGGAATACATTGCAAAACTCCAATGATTTACATCCTCTCTTACACATTAATGTACAGCTACAGGTAACGGTCCGATGCACATTGATGCCACACAGCAAGCAGATGCTTTTCCAGTTGTTTATTATGCACATTCTTCAAATATGGAACAAACATATAACATATTTTAAACTTTGAATCTGCAAGCACCATGGGAATTAGTCACGTTATTTAGCAATCGAAGGATATAAACAGGATAATTTTCAGAGAAGAGTACCTTATCAGAATCTACAAATATGGCTGAATCTACTAATAAAGCATTAGTATTTAGTAGCCTTTTGTCAAATCTTCTCTAAGCAAGGTTGCTTAACCCTGTTTAGGCATACAATAAGTAAAGTGCTGCATTTTAAGTCTTTCTTTAGAGTAATTACTGTTTTTATCTAACAATCATGATTAATTACTTTTTTATATACAGTAGAGTCTCGTTTAACCGACCTTCACTTATCCGACATTCCATCTTATCCGACGCCCCTAAAAAAAACACAACACGCATAAATCGGCGACGAGAAAAGTATGCCTCTTGTTTGCGAGCGTGAGTGTACTCTTTCTTGTTGCTCCTGACGGTGCGGCGCCGCAACGCAAAAATCGATTGCAACAGGCGCAGCGGATTGGGTTTTTGTTTTGTTTTTTTACCGCACTCAATCGTTACTGTGTGTTATCCGACATTTTCGCTTGGGTTTTTGTTTTGTTTTTTTACCGCACTCAATCGTTACTGTGTGTTATCCGACATTTTCGCTTATCTGACGTTCTGCCGGCCCATTTATGTCGGATAAGTGAGACTCTACTGTACCTTTTCCTATGGTCTCTGACAGCTCTTAAAGAATGTACTGAGCAGCTTAAATATTAAAAGTCTGGAAAATTGAGTAGTGGGATGAAAATAGCCATTTGCAGGCTTCTTATGGCAATTACCTGATTGTAAGAAGATAGTTTTATCTCCTTAATTCCTCTTCTGATGTAGCCCTGTGTAAAAATAAGTAAGGGCTAGTATGAGTGTCTGAAAAGCACCACAGTGTTCCCTTGTGAAATGAACCTAAAAAAAAAGTATTCAGAGGAAGATTGAATTGCCATAGCACTATGTTCAGGCCTTACTGTTTCCATCTATTTGCATATAAAATAGTAAGCAGGAATATATTTTGAAGGAGAAGGGATATTTTCCCCATCTCTCATTCTGTGAGGTTTACTAAATCAAAATCCTTCTCTATAGGGTGAGATAAAATGTCATAGCAAACAACTTTTTTTGAAGCTGGAGGCCATTCTGTAAAATTATTTATTTATTTTTATTTTTTTATTTATATTTCAAATTTGTCACCACCCATCTCATTGCAGAGTGACTCTGAGCAGTTTGCAGTAAAAACAGAATATTAATTAAAATAAAATAAATATTAATTAAAATACACTACAACAACAATTATGGGTAGCAAAGGGGGATGTAAAGATGCCACTGAAGTAGGTAGAGCTTTTACTGGACTGAGTGTCTGAAAATGCTTTGTGCGTAGGGTTTTAGGCATGCTAAGCCTTTGAGTATTTATTTATTTGCAATGCTGTTTTGTTTAGCTTTATGTGTTGTATGAATCCAGTTAACTGTGGCTTATTCAGTACCTCAGGATTAAATAAATCATGCCTTAGTTCATTGCATGAACTCAGCCATAGTAAAAATAAGGATGTGAGCAAAAGAAGGCTCATTAACTATGAGGTAAAGAGTACAGAGTTTGGGAGCACTTGCCGTTATGTTTAGACTTTGTTGATAATCTTAATTACTATTGAGATGGGGGAAATGTCAGCTGACTTATAGTTGGTGAGGTTACAGTTCCAGGTAAAATGTAGGCACTTTGATCAAATTGTATGTTTAAGTGGACAGAAGCTGATATAACTTCTACATGGAAGAAAGTTAAACATGACATTTTTCTGCAAATTTGTGTGCATGGTATTTATGTATTCTTGTTTACAGATTCAAAATAAGAAAATGGTAAATATTTGAGGTGTAGAATTTTGGACACCCTTTCAGTTCATTCAGTGCTGCTTACTTTTTTTTAATATTTATGTTGTTGATAAGGCCCCAAAAGATGGTGGATTTGTTAGGTTTACATTTAACTAGTTGAACAAATACTCTAACCCTTCTAACTTCTCAGATAGTGATAGTTGTTCTATGTTCTTCAACAACTCTTGGGCTCCTCTAAGCAGTTTTCTGAGCATTTGAAAATGAAAATGATCCATTCTTACAAAGCAGAGGAAAGCTATTAAAAAAATCTCTAAACTCTTCCAGCTAGGAATTTCAGTTGTGAGTATTGGAAGTTTCATGAAACTGTTGATGCTGAAGAAAGATCTAGAAGAAAAATGTCTGTTAGAATTGTCCAAAAACTGATACAATATGCAAAACAGAACCCACAGTTTACTGAAAATGGCCTGCTAAAAAGTTTAACTGGCATTGGAATACTTGTCCACAGGTCTACAATATGTGTTATTTGTACAACAATTATCTGTATGGGAAGGATGCCAGAATGAAATCTTTTCTCTGATCTAACCCCAAAATACTAAAGTATGCAAAATAAAATATTGATAAGCCTGAGTCATTTTGGAACAAAGTGCTTTGGACTAATGAAATCAACACTGAACTGTCGGGCCACAACCACACAAACTACATTTGGAAATAAAAGGGTGAAGCATTGTGTGTGTGTGGGGGGGGGGACTTAGCAACTATTAAGCAACGGGTTATCCTTTCAGGTTTTGTGGCAGACAGTGACGCAGGAAATATTGTGCAGGTAGAAGGAAGAAAGGATTCAACATTATCTAAATGCCAACATTATCTAGAAGCTAATATCCCACAGTCAGTGAAGAAACTGATGCTGCAAAAAGATAGTTGACTTACAGAAATATCCAATCTGAAACATCAGTGATCCTCCAAATCAGTGATGAAGTACTTGAAGGAAAGAAGAATAAAGGTCTGGGAATGTCCTTCATCATCCCAGAATTGAATATTACTGAAAATCTGCAAGGAGATCTCAAACTTGCAGTGGATGCAAGGAGACTAAAGAATAATTCAGAGATGAAAGAATTCTGAAAGGAAGAGCAGGGAAAATTTTTTGAAATCAAGACTAGAAGAACTCTTAACCAGATACAGGAAACTTTTAGAAGCTGTTATTTCTGCCAAAGGGGCTGTAACAAAGTACTGAAAGGGTGTCCAAACTTCTGCACTTGCTATATTTATTGTTTCTTTAAGTCTGTAAACAACTGCACATTAAATATGCATTCAAATTTGTGAAAAGTTACTGTGTTAACTCAATATAAGTTGTATCAGCTCTTGCTTACTTGGGGATTCATTGAAAGATGCATGCCACAGCCTTTTGTGGGTTCTCAGAATTTGACCTAGCATACAGTACATCAGACACTGCTTGTGATTTTTTTTTTCTCTTTTAATTCAGCAAGCGGACGCAAGCCTCTAATTTCAGCTTGAGGCAGCATTCCTTTCTCCTCACTCTCCTGCCACCTTTACTGATAAGCCAGGGAGAAATGGTTGTAGAGCCATAAAGCATAGTAAAATCAATAGAGGCTGAACTAATAAATGGTTATGACATATTTCTAAGCTAAGAACTTCTTTATCAGTTAATGGAAGTTTCCTGCTGCTGGCAAGCATCACCTTGTTATATGTGTAGTCTAGAGGGTTGTCCAAATTTGAATATTACTATTTCTATATTCTACTCCTATTTAGAGATAAGTAAGGGGTAATTATGCTAGGTGTCATTTCCCTCAGGTTGACATTTGCACACTCACTCCTGGCAGGGTGTGACTCCGCCCCCCCTTCCTCAGCACAGAGACCATTGGTAAAGTTGTGCCACAAAGATTCCTCCTGATCTTCAGGTCACACCCGGTTCCACTTCTGAGAATCTTGGCCCAGCCTGTCTTTGAACCAACAACAAACCTTCAGTGGCCAACGCTGTCTAGATCCATTTTGTTTCTGCTAGACCTTACACCTCCATCTCCTTTCCCTTCTTTCCAAAGTTCCTTTTGTTTTTAAGGCTCCACCTTTCTCTTCCCTCGGTTACCCTAGCAGTACCCCCATGAAAAAAATATGCTACTAGCTACAAAGAACAACAGCTGTGTTTGGGTGTGTATGTGACAAGATGTTGCAGAACCACAGGCAGTTGCAGACTGCCATGATTCAACTTGACCAATATAAACTTTGCGTGCAACTTTATAGGGATTGGGAGAGATCTCAAGAATCTGTTGTTAAATCTGTGCAGTTTGAGAACAAAACTTTATAGATTAAAAGTAAATCTAGCAATTCAAAGCCAAAGAGAAGGTGATGCAGTTCAGTAATTTTATCCAGTGTACAGAATAGTCCTACCAGGGTGTGAGACATATGTCTTTTAAATAACAAAGTTTGGTGAATTAACCCTGCTTCACTGAGGAATCCTCTTCCCCATTCCTCAGATTGTACAATTGTAAGGAAGAGAATGAGATGTCATCAGACCACAACATTTTTTGTTACGTTCCACTGAGAGTTCTTTGAAGGAACAATAATTTTAAATTCCTAATTCTCTTTTTACCATTGTTTCTATGCTTAATGTCTAGAGTAACAAAAATTGTTTTCATTTCTTGATGTCTCATTCAATCTTCAGTTATACTATTAAAGGTATTAAGAGGTATCATCTGGAGGGAAGACCACTCCTAGTTTCCTTCCACCTAAATATCAGCTAGAAAGAGGACCATCTTAACTTATAGTAGAATTTATTCTTAGCCAGTCAGTTCTTTTGCGGAATCACAACCAAGCCATCTTTGATTTTGAATATAGTAAGTGATATGGATGATGGAAGGATGCAGGGGTATGAAAATAGGTTTTGCTAACAATTCATGCAAATACCTACACAGACTTACAAGACTATATCCATTCTTATTTTTTTTTTTTTTTTTGCAATGGAAATCTTCTGGAATGTTTGATTCTGGAGTGGAGCTTTTTGGTTGAAGGCTAGTTCTGAAAAAGGAGGCGGAATCACTGCACGTGGCAACTGCTGTGAGTTAATGCACAGTAAATTATTGATTTTAATGTGATGAGAGAATGCACTCTTCCATCCCCATATTGAAGTTAGGCCATCTGCCCAGGACCAAGCCTGAATTAACCCTCCTGGGGTTTTTTACAGACTACATGTCCCAGATGACAGTAGTGCAGAGAGAGATAATCACCAATCAAGACATAAGGAACCTTTCTGCTATATATGGAGAACATATTTTGTTGGTTCATCTTAAAAAATGGTGGTGGAAATGGGGCTATAAACTTTAAAAATATCCAAATAATGAATTATTCCAGTCATGTTTTGATAACAAAAAAAATGCGAAGGGTATTCAGGAAAAAATTGCACCCAGGATAATCATCTGAGTCTTAAATTCCACACCAGGTTGTAGTCTTTTTCCCATCCTCCCATTATTTTTCCTTGGCTATTAAACTAGTAGCAAATAACGGATTAAAGAACCAGGTGAAGGAGGTGGCAGATAAATACCTACCTATTTATTTAGTAGACATTGTAGGAAAGTCAAAGTATTTACAGATCTGCAGGCTTATCTTGAAGGTCCACCCTCATGTTTTGTCTTTCTCTTGAACACAATGTGGCAGGTCACTTTTTTAGGTCTAGAGAAGTATTTGGTAAAAGCCTGTACACAGTGCCTTCCAATGTCAAAATGGTTTAATGGTGCTGCTGGCAAATCACCATTCATTGCTTTACTAAATCTGATGAAGGATCCACTTTAGACCTTTGTTTAATTCTGGTGTAGGAGTAAACTATGATCATTACAAGTTACATTACCAGGTCACTGGACGCCTTGGGTAAATTAAGTTTTAAATTAGGTTTAGACTGAAATATTCTCACTAGTATGGCTATAAGCCTAACATTTTTTGTTTTGAGCTCGTCAAGAAAGGGTAACGTACAGCATAACAAATATAAAGATCTACATATGAAAACTTAATACATACTCAATATATTTGAGTAAGGAATAAGTTGTGCTTCTAGGGGACCCAAATCTTTATTTCATTCACTGCAGTCATTTCTTCAAAAGTAACCTTTTATGCACCAATCCATCAAGTGACAGTTTAACTACTTCTTTAGACATTTCACTTAGCAAGCACTAAGTTGTTACTCTGAAATGTTTGTGATGTGTGAAGAAAATATAGCACCTTTTCCCGTTTGATTTCATCTCTTTGAAAGGCAGAGATTAGAGGGCTTGTTGCCATCACTTCCAACTATAAATAAAGCCTAGGAAGTGTTAACATCTTTGCAAATATATTGCATTGATTTTTTTTCCTTGCACAAATAGATCAGGCACATGCTATCATAATTCTTCTAGGATTTTGTTCCTCGCCCAAAACTTGAAATAGTTTTCATTAAATTCTGTGCTCCCTAAATCATTGGATCTACTTCTTTCCAAAATTGGTATTAGCTTCAACATTTCAGTTTGTATTTCCCCTCAGTTTAATAAACTCATTGTAGTATAATCTGTCTATAGTCAGAACATGAAGACTGAATTACTAGAAGCAGATTATTAGTCTTAATGCTGAGTATTGCTCTAACACAGCTTTCCTCAATTCGAATGCCCTCCAGATATATTAGTTACAACTCCCAGAACTCTTCTGCCAGCAACTAGATTGGAGAAGGCTACCCTATTAGAATAACCAACCCAAACATGTTTGGTTTTCTGCTGTACTACTGAAATCCATTTGGCTTTCTGCAAATTACTTTGGCAATCCAGACATCTGCTCAACACGGCTGAGAATAAGTTCAATTTAAAAGGCTCTTTGTAAAGAAAAATACCTTGAATAATATTTTCATACTTATGCAGAGGTGAGGAATCTGTGTTCCTCCACATATTCCTGAATGGTAGCGCCTGATATCTCTCACAGCCATACTTGCTGGAGCAGATGGGAATTTGAGCACAACAACAAAAGGGCAACAGGTTTCCCATGATTTATACCGTTAGAAAATGTATGACTATATTTCAAAAGTATTACAGTATCTATATGAATTACTGTTTTAAACTGATAAGGCTACTAAATACTTCAAATGTAGTGGTGGGAGACCCTTCAAATCTTAATTCTTTGTCCTTGTTTTGTTTCATGCAAACTATTTCCATTTCTCCAAAGCTGATAGGGCAAGGTTTTTCTAATTGGGTTTCATGACCCCTAGGGTCCCACGAAAACCTGATGGGAGTTCTATGAGAGAGCAAGGAAAAAATATCAAATGACTTTAATGTATGAATAAACTATTACAAACACATGTTTTGCCTTACTGCCAATTTTCTATTACTACAGCTTTGCCTCTTGATCAAAGGGCTCTGAGAACTATTTTTAGCTAATAGGTTTTATGACCTGAAAAACTGCTAGAATCTTGAAATTTAGGTCTGTAGCAAACCAAATTCTTGTAGCCCTGGGACTTGTACTTATTGGGAAGTTGCAAATTTGGAAAAACTGGGAGTGGTGCAGAAATCAGGCAAAAGATGGGCTATATGGACTTGTAGGTACCATAGAAGAGCATGGTTCAGGCAGGAGAGCAGTCCAAATGCCCTGTATATAATCTTTTCCCATTCAAAGTGAAGCTTCTTGAGAGGATTGAAAAGTTAGCCTCCTTTCTTAAGGCGTTGGTTTGCATTAAAAGTGAAAGCTTAGCATGAGGATACTTTCAAATGAATAGTATTGATCATTTTGAGCTTGGACCACTTGATCCAAATGATCAGAACAACTTGAGGACAACTTTTTTCAAGCTCAAAGTAGAGTGTTTTGAATTCAAATATTTTGAATTTGAAACCCTTTGAATACCTATAAGGAATAATCACCCTTATCTGCCTTATGATGTGATTCAATTTTATGCATAACTCATTACTAGTTTTGAAAATCTTGAGTCAAGCTTCAAGTAAAAATTATTTTTAAAGTGTGTGAGCAGTGGAAATGTCTACTTGCATTATACTAGAGCAACATTTTAGAATGCTGAATGTTAAGAAGGATGGTTGCAAAAGTTTTATACTAAACCCAACTGTATTCAGCTTACTGTCATGAAATAAATACTTCCTTTGTTTTGCTGCTCATAAAGAAATCCCACATGAACGTTCTTTTCTTAAAAGAAAAAATAGCTTTGAGTCTTCTCTTCTTCAGGGTCAAGTTACCCGTGCACAGGAGGCTGAAGAGAACTACATTATCAAGCGGGAGTTGGCAGTTGTGAAGCAACAGTGCTGCTCTGCCACAGAGAACTTGCAGAAGGCGCGAAGCACCATTCAGCAACTTCAGGACCAACAAGTAACTATGAGAGTGGAAGATACAAGAGTGAAGGGGGCTGTATGATGGGGGGAGGGTGAGATTACATGCAAGTTGCCCAGTTGGTTAAACCACAGAATTTTAAAACTCACATGACTGTTTTGTGGGGGAAGCCTGGAACTGGCAAGTCCACACATTCCCATTCCCATGGCAACTTATTAGAATGAGCTATACAAAGCTATATATTTTACTGGGTTGATTTTGATAGTTGATGCTTTCCTTGAGATCAGTCGTGCCAGTTCAGGGCCTTCTTTTGCTCTTTTTCCACTGTTAGTTTTAGGAATGATTGTATCTATTCAGATTCTTGCTTGAATATTTACTGTACTTTAGTCTTGACCAGCTTTTCCCACCCTTATGCATCTGAATGTGTTGAATTACAAAATAAACTCCTAACTCCAGCCTTTATGCCCATTAGAAATGTTGGCTGCTAATGTGACTTACTGTACAACAGATCTGGGGGGCATCAGATTGAGGAAGTCCCATCTAGAAAAAGAATAGATATGGCTATTCCTAATAATTATGGCCCATGATTGAAGGCCAAATTTGAGAGTTCCATGCATAGTCCAAAGAGTATCCGGAAGCTACAGCTGGTGCAGAATGCGGCGGCGCGGACAGTTCTTAATGCCCCTAGGAGGGCACATATAACACCGCTGTTGCGCGAGCTGCATTGGTTACCAGTTTGCTTCCGGGTCCAATTCAAGGTGTCGCTCATCACCTTTAAAGCCCTTCATGGCACGGGACCAGGTTATCTGAGGAACCGCCTCGCCCTGGTCACTTCAGCCCGTCCCACTCGGTCCAGCAGAAGGGGCAGGTTGCAGACCCCACCGGTCAGGGAATTTCGATTGGTGGGGTCTAGGCAGAGAGCCTTTTCTACGGCAGCGCCCGCCGTATGGAACATCCTGCCTGTTCGGTGTGCCCCCTCCCTCATGGCCTTCAGGAAAGGTATTAAATCCTGGCTTTTCCAGAAGGCCGGGGGGCCAGAGGGGGGCCCGCACCTGTGGAGATGGCTGGTGGGATGATGGGTTGCCCCCCCCCCA